TTTGAGTCAGGGTCTCACTCTGTCACCCAGGCTGGAGGGCAGTGGCATGCTCATGGCCACCCCACTGTCAACCTGCTGGGCTCAGGTGATCCTTCCTCCTCAGCCTTCCAAGTAGGTGGAACTACAGGCATGCACTACCACACATGGCTAATTTTTTTTTTTGATATATTGTAGAGACAGGTATCACCTAGTTGCCCAGGCTGGTCTTGAACCCCTGGGCTCAGGCAATCCTCTTGCCTCAGCCTCCCAAAGTGCTGGTATTACAGGCTTGAGTCACTGCGCCTGCCTGTACCTTTTAATTCTTAAAGATATTGTCAAAATGTAATCATGTTTCCAAATACTGTTTTCCCACAGTATGTGATCAAAGTAAAAGCTTGACTGCCAATTTAAGAAGTTAAAAAAAAAAATCAAAGCAATTTTTTTTCATAAAATTTTTATTATGGAGAATTCTGAACATATACAAAAGTAGATAAAAGAGTAAAATTAATCCCATATACCCATCACCCAGCCTTAACAACCTTCAGTACATGGTCAATCTTGTTCTTCAATATTGCCTCCACTTCTCCAGTATGATTGTGAAGCAAATTTCAGATACCATATCATTTTATCTGTAAATATTTCAGAATGTGTCTCTAAAAGCTAAGAATTAAAAAAAAAAAACAAAAAACCGGCCGGGTTCGGTGGCTCAGCCTGTAATCCCAGCACTTTGAGAGGCTGAGGCGAGTGGATAGCCTGAGCCCAAGGGTTCAAGACCCGCCCGGGCAACTTGGCGAGACCTCGTCTCTACAATAAATCAAAAATTAGCTGGATGTGGTAGCATGCGCCTGTAGTTCTGGCTACTTGGAAGGCTGAGGTGGAAGGATCGCCGGAGTCGAGGCTGCGGTGGCCAGAAGCGTGACACTGCACTCCAGTGTGGGCAACAGAGTGAGACTCCAATTAAAAAAAAAAAAAATCCCACAACTACAATGCCATTCTCATCACTACAAAATTAACAATAATCCCTTATATCCCTTAATACCTAACCCAAACATCTAATAGTACCTGTTATGGTTTGTTTAGATTGCGATCCAAAAATGGTCTACACATAATTGGTTGATATGTCTTTTAAATGATATATTTCCCTCTATTACTTTTTTAATTATAGCACATTAGCAGAAAGAATTGGGTTGATTACTGTTTCCATTATTAAGCTATAGACTCTTGGCTCCAAATCCATTTTTAGTGATACTAGGACTGGACATTTACAAATTACATTTTTCTTTTGCTGAGTTCTTCCATCAGGAGTTCTAGAGGAATATTAGAAGGATAGGAAAAGTGAAAAGGGAATTTCTGTTCCTGTCTGCTTGCTCTGTTACCCCAACTTCAGGCCTCTCTGTCATTGGCAGTTCATTCCAGTCTTGAGCTGTTTTTCTTCCTTTCCAGAAGGGAAGAAAAATAGCTTTACTATGTCCCCTCAGAGCTATTAGCACAATTGAGGAAGCACCTCAATTCAGAGTCTGAATTCAAGCTCTACAAGGTCTCTCCTCCGACCTTCTAGGTTCTAATAATTCCAATTTCTTTCCTTTGTTCACTAAGTCTTAGATCTGGAAGTTGCTTCTTGTAGTTACTTCCTCATGCTACCTCACTTTTTGCCTTTTCAGTTCTTCAACACCTGTTTAATGAATCCTTATATAAAATTATACTGTAAATTAAATACATTAAACTACAGGTGTGGTTAATATATCTGGATTTTGCTGACTGTCTCCCCTTGGCATAGTTTAATATGTTCCTGGTTCTTTGTAATTGATCTGGACTTGAGATTTGATCAGATGCCGGTTTCTGTTTTTGCAAACTGTTCCACAGGTGATCGTCTGTTCTTCCATTAGAATGCACATAATTTCTGGTTGTTTTCTTTAGCAGTTGTATTAGTTTCCTATTATGTAAAAAATTACTGCACACTTAGTCATTTAAACCAATGCCTATTAAAATAGAAGGAATACTTCATAACTCATTCTATTAGGCCAGTATTAGCTTGATACTAAAGCCAGACAAAGACATCACAAGAAAACAAAAAGAAAAAACTACAGACTAACATCTCTTAGGAATACAGATAACAAAAATTCTCAATAATAAAATACCAGCAAACTGAATTCAGCAGAATAGTGAAAGGATAATATATCATTAACAAGTGAAATTTTTCCCAGAAATGTGAGGTTGATTCAACACATGAAAATAAATCTATTTATTATGCCATATTAATAGAGAAAAAAACATTATCATCTCAATAGATGCAGAAAAGCATTTGACAAAATCCAATACCTTGCCAGCATAAAAAAAAATTCAACAAAGTATAAAGAGAAGGGAACTTCTTGACCTTGAAAAAGGGCATCTATGAAAAACCCAAGGCTAACAACATGCTTAACGGTAAAAGACTGAAAGCTTTTCCTCCTAAGATCAGGAACAAGACAAAGATGTCTGGTATTCAACACTGTACTAGAAATTCTAGCCAGAAAAGTTAGGCAAGAGAAAGAAATAAAAGGCAGCCATATTGGAAAGAAAGAAGTAAAACTATCTCAGTTGCAGATTACATGGTCTTATATATGGAAGACACTAAAGGTTTCTGCACAAAAAAGCTATTACAGTTAATAAGTGAATTCTGTAAGGTTATAGGATCAAAATCAATGTACAAACAACTAATTTTATTTCTATAAACTAGCAATGAATAATCCAAAAATGAAATTAAGAAGATTCCATTTACAATAACATCAAAAAGAATAAAATACTTACGAATACATTTAACTAAGAAGGTGAAAGACTTTTACACTGCAAACTATATATAAAACCCTGTTGAAAAAAATTAAAGAAGAGAACTAAATGGAAAGACATTCTGTGTTCAAGGACTGGAAGACTTAATATGTTAAGATGACAATACTCTATAAATTCACTGCAAACCATATCAAAGTTCTACTGGTTTTTAAATAAGATTCACAGGGAAATGATAAGGAAGCCAGAAAAATTAAAATGCCCTTGAAAAACACCACATTGGAAGACTCACACTTCCTAATTTCAAAACTTACAATAAAGCAATAGTAGTCAAAACAGGGTGGGACTAGCACAAGGAACAACATATAAATCAATGTAATGAAACTGAGAGCCAAGAAGTAAACCCATATAATTACAGCCAATTGATTTTGACAAAGGAGTCAAGACAATTCAGTGGAGGAAAGAATAATCCTTTCAACAAATGGTACTGAGACAGCTGGATATTCATCATGACAAAAATTAACTCCAAATGGATCAAGACCTAAATGTAAGAGCTAAAATTGTAAAATTCATAGAAGGGGGAAAAGTGTAAATCTTTATGACCTTGGATCAGTTAACAGTTTCCTTTTCTTTTTTTTTTTTTGTTTTTTGTTTTTGAGTTGGAGTCTCACTCTGTCGCCCAGACTGGAGTGCAGTGGCCGCTCCCGGCCACTGCAGCCTCGACCTGCTGGGCTCTGGTGATCCTTCCGCCTCAGCCTTCCCAGTGGCTGGAATCACAGGCATGCGCTACCATGGCCGGTTGATTTTTTGATTTATTGTAGAGATGAGGTCTCACTGCCCGGCGGGTCTAGAACCCGCGGGCTCAGGCAATCCACTCACCTCAGCCTCCCAAAGGCGCGGGATTACAGGCTGAGCCACCAAGCCCAGCTCCTTTTTTTTTTTTTTTAGTAGAAATCTCACTCTGTCACCCAGGCTAGAGTGCAGTGGCACATTCACGGCCACTGCAGTCTCGACCTGCTGGGCTCAGGTGAATCTTCTGCCTCAGCCTCCCATGTAGCTGGAACTACAGGCATGCGCCATACTCCTGGCTAATTTTTTTGATTTACTGTAGAAACAAGGTCTCACCAAGTTGCCCAGGCTGATCTCAAACCCTTGGGCTCAGGCCTAGGCCTCTCAAAGTGCTGGGATTACAGGCATGAGCCACCGCGCCAGGCTAACAATTTCTTAATATTGACACCAAAAGTGCAAGCAAAGGAAA